ATTTTGTCCTCAAAGTTGATCTTAGCGACTTTGACCACGGACAAATTGTAAGACAACTGGGTCAGAGCATCTCCAAAACTGCTGTTCCCGGTTTGCAGTGGTCAGTACCTATCAAAAGGGGTCCAAGGAAGGAAAAACGGTGAACCGGTGACAGGGTCTTAGATCGGAACACACAGGCCAGCCATCACTGCCCACATTCATCAATGACCCTTTAATGCTGGTTCTGATAGAAAGGTGTCAGAACTCACAGTGCATCACAGTATGTTGCATATGGGGCTGCATACCATTATGACCACCAAGGTGCCCAGGTGGTGTTAAGGCTGATCGGTGTAAATAAAAGACCAAGCACAGAATCTTCTTGATTATTAAAAAGGAGATTGTTACATTCATCATTACAGGTCACCTGAGTTCTATCAGATAAATATGCATTAAAATATGTGTTTGTCCATTCTGGGCTACAAGGCAGTTCAACATAGATAAAAACTGCAAAAAAAATATTTTCAGGTGAATATGCACTAATTTTCTTTTTGTGATCAAATTTTTATTTTGTTTTATAAGTTCAGGTAGTTTACATCAAACATCCACAGTGCTACCCTTCAATTCCAGTTTCATCATACATGGTTTAAGAAAACACAACAGAAAAAAATTAAGAAAATTCATTCATATTCTTTCTCGTTCCGATAAGATGTTTGGACTTATATTGTCTTTCAGGGTTATTTAGAGTCGTTCAGAGTTCATGACTGTATAAGTAGAATGAAGGTTTTTAGGTTGCAGTCTGTGAATTAGAGTGGTCTCTTTAACAAAGTCAGACATTATTAAAATCAGATGATATATTGCGTTCCCAAACCATAGCAAACACAACAGAAGCTGACACTGTAATTGTTTGTCAGTGCAAGTTAACCTGGAACGATTCAACCTAAATTAGTGTCTCTGCCCAGAAGAAGATGGTTTTACTGTTGGGACAATGTATTTTGGCAACTGAAGGCTCCATATTAATTACTTTAAGGTAAATATTAAACCAATGTGACATATTGAGGACGTGTGGTGGTTGCCAGCAAAGGGACAACATCTTTTTTGCAGCAGTCAGACCAGCTAACATTATACGTCTTTGTAAGTGTGTCATCCTTAGAGATGACACGTCTTTTAGAAGTACAATAATAGGAGAATGAGGTACATCAACATTTTGTATCTGTGACAAAGAAAGACAAACTTGTCTCCAAAAATGGGCAAATTTTCTGCAGTCCCAAAAGGGGCATAAGTGAGACAACTTGACCCTCTGAGCAGAGGTGCCATGACAGAAAATGAATTGTCACCCTTGGTGGCAAGCAAGATGTAATTGTTAATCAGCTGCATAGAAATGGCCGGTTGTTGACCCTGCATTAGGTCACTGGAGGCTTACCATGTTTTGTTTAACGGAGGAAAGAACAGTTTGGTAACAAGACCAGCATTCCGGCCAGAAGGGGAGTGACGTTCCCAGCAAGATTCCCAGCTTGTAACAGACAGAAAGGAAGTGGCAGGATATTTTGTTCTAGGACTAAATGCAGCAGTGTATACAGAGCACTCCTAAACTGGCACACATTCAGCTATTTACCCAGCCGTTCAGGACTCAACATGCCAGTGCTTTTCTTCTTCATTCTCTTGTCTGTATCCCCCCTTTGCCAGTTTGCAGATAAGAATGAAAGTGAAAGAGCAACCCCCCCTTTGCTTTTCTGAGCCAATGTTGCATATTTTTCCTTTCCCAAGCAAATGTATTTATGATATAAAATCGGGATATTTAGAAGAAGTTTGAAGGTACATATTTGGTGAACATCATTGATTGATCATATTGAACAGTGTGTCTGATGGTGGATTTTCCCTACTGAAAGGGCTCCTGGTGGTAGCTGTCGTGGGAGGGGGAAGTGCGGTTAATTTACTTTCCAGATCCAGAGTTTCCATGAGGGTCCCGCTGTATTTGTTTTTAAAGTCTATTTCTCCCCAATACACCTACCTGTTTTCCATAAGCTTCTGACGCAATTAATGATTTTTCACCAAAGAGTGCAGTCTTTAAGTACAGAATGTTGATGTTATATTTGATATTATATAGTTGTACTGTCTCCTAAGTCAAATGATTATAATCAGACTGATACAGTAGAAGGTTTTCAGTCATATCTGCCTCAATATATCACATTCTCGTCTCAAATTTAAAATCACTGCTTACCAGAACAAATCTTAGGCCTGTTTAACTGGCTGAAGTTTTGACCTAACCCTAACTACTCAACTTGGGAAGACTGCCTTCCACAATATAAATGGAATGAAATTCAAAGGACATTGAAACCGGAAAGTCTCACTCCATTGCATGAATTAAAACTTTTCATTTTGAAAAACGCAAGGCAACTGCATCAAGGGGAATGACTAGCATTTGAGTCCCGGAAATTTTTATTTTGATACATCTTCAGGGTATGTGCCAGTTGTACCAAATTAGTTTTGAAAGTAAGACTGCTATCTAACCAGATTGACAGATTCCTTGCATTTCCGTACCATTATGTGTATGATGGCAAGTTTGAGATGAAAAATTCAGAGATGTCTGCAGAAGGTAAAAGGCAGACTGTGATCTAGACATGGATTGAGCTGGAGAAGAGCCATATGCATACAAGCTTCATACATAAAAATGAATACTACTTTTGGAGTATTAGATTTATGTACACCGATCAGCTCTAACATTATGAGCACTGACAGGTAAGGTGAATAACACTGATTAACTGGTTATCATTGCACCTGTCAGTGAGAACATTTTGTCCTCAAAGTTGATCTTA